GACTTGCTCTCATCTGCTGCGACGACGTAAGCGCGTGGCCACTCTGTCGCTTCGTTCTTGTCGTGTATGCCAATCACTCCAGCGTCAGCAACGTCATCGCTGCTGCAGAGAATAGCCTCCAATTCAGCGGGCGCGACTTGGTAAGCGCGCACTTTGATCATTTCTTTGATGCGGTCTGTGATGCAGAGAGTGCCCTCCTCGTCGAGATGTCCGACGTCACCGGTTCGAAGCCAACCATCTGACGTGAATGCCTCTGTTGTGACGCTCATATCGGGCGCTTCTTTACTTCCCAGTCCGTGGGATGGGACATACGCACTCATCAATCCAGGCGATCTCACGAGAATCTCACCCTCGGCACCGAACGGCGCAGCCTTTGTGGTAGAATCCTCAGAGTTCAATTCACCTGCACCAGCGATCATGAGCTCAACGCCCCAATGAGGCTTTCCTGTGTCGTGCTTGTAACTGTGCATGTCCTCTTCCCTGAGACCCCTTTGCAGAGTGACACTGCACGCTTCTGACATGCCGTAGCCAAGCCTCACGAGGAAGCCGAGTCGTTGGAAGACCTTCTCTACGACTTCGTGGCCGAGAGGTGCACCGCCTGTTACACCTGCAACAACACTGCTGAAAGCATTGCGACCGCGCGCGTCGCGTCGCGCGAAGGGTTCTACCACGGGTGACTTGGCGAGCATGACAGCCACGGGAGGTGCCATGTGGAGATATGTGATCTGTCGACGCGGGATCGCGGATAAAACAGTATCGAGCTTGAACGCGGGCATAGTAAACACCGTAGAACCCGTCGCGAAAGCCAGTAAGAAGATGTTGGTGAGACCGAACACGTGGTAAAATGGCACATAACCTAGCCATCGCTGGTGAAATCCGTAAAAGTCCGCATCGTGCCACAGCGACGCGATTGAGAAGTTGATGGCTTGATGGGATAGCAAAACACCCTTTGATCGGCCTGATGTACCAGATGACCAGAGAATAATTGCTGTTCGTGTAGCGGCGGATTCTGGTGGGAACGGGTGGCCAGCAGTAAGAGGCTCTTTCGCTGGCATAAGAAGGTTCTTCCAATCGCCATCCTCAGCATGAGAAGCCGGTGAAAGAGGATACAAATCCCTCGCTACATCGACTGTGTAGACGCGCACACTTCTCTTGTACGCCTCGTCTTCCTGCTGCTCAAGCGCTTTCTCGACGGTGTTGAGGAACGCTTTCGCTGTGAAGAGCACGCGAGGACGCGAGTTCTTAATGACCCATGAGAGCTCAGTAGCAGATAGTGAGGGTGATGCTAATGTGGTAGTTAAGCCAGCTGCAATGGCACCCATCATGAGTGTCGCGAAGGGCAAACAGTTAGGCAATTGGATAAGCACCACCGGTGCGACCTCTGGGCCAGAACATGATGCTGTTGGAGGGAGGGTCTCGATTTCATTGGGATCAAGACCAAGAGATTGGAGGTTGGCTGCTAGAGTGAGGGCATCGCGCTTTACGCGTGAGAAAGTGAGAGGACGGTCTAGAGAAGTCAGCACGTGTCGCCATGATATGATGTTGAGTTTAGGCATGTAAGATTGAGTTTGGGAGTGCAACGTACCGCTGGCGTGGTCAACGAAAATGGGCTGATCATCATGGATCTTTGGCACACGTCTCGCTCTAGGCGTAAAGTCATTTTCATGCTGGAAAGGATTGCTGAATAAGAAGTCAAAGACGTTTGCGCCTGGGACGTTGGCGGGTGTGCCTGCATAAGCGGGCTTAGTGTCTGCCATCGTGTCTCCTGTGTCGGTGTAACTTTTGCCCTTTGCTTTGTTTTGTTGATGTTGCTCTGTTGGTTGCTGGGTGACACGCAGGGGACACGGTACAGGCCGATGTGAAGAAGGGGAGTTGATGACAAGTCAAAGAGCCTGAAGCTGGAATTGATCTTATAATTGAGGTGAGTGAGGTCGTTTACCGTTTACCTTGGGTAGAACGATCGGGCCGGCGTGGAGATTGCGGAGACCCCGCGTTGAGAGTTGTCTTTCTCGGTTTCGGGCCTGAGAGACGGGAGGCGCTGCGGCTCTATCCTGCGGCAGTTGGTTTCGGCTGAGATGTGCCTCGTTATGTGAATATCAGCAAATTCTGTATAAAAAGAAATACAAACAGCGTGGTAAATTAATCGAATTGAAACAAGATTACATGCATATAACTTTTTAAAGTTAATTACGTATTTTAAAATAAAGTAGCTATTATATTTGTCACGATCTATGGCTGTTATTATCTTGCTGCTTCACGACGACCGGGTATAAGAATATCCAGCTCATCCCCAATTTAGGCAACCCGAGGCTAGAGCCCCGTAACAGAGACAGCAAGCCTGCAAATACGCTTCAATCAGATCTAAGATTTGCCGTTTTTTGAGTATGTCGACGAAGTTCAATTTATTACTCACCTCGGTATAGCACATCCTATTTTAACTCAACAGCGCCGGCAGTACGAGGTCGGTATGTGATTTGTTCTTTTAGCGCCCCTGCCCAAGAGACTCCAGCAAAAGAGGCGGCTCTCGTTGCGATACTGAATACTTGCCAGGAGTCTTATCGTGAGATCTCAGAAGTGTCTGCGCTTATCGAAAAATAAGGCGAATGATGTCCATATTTCTCGATATATGCATATCTGTCACGCCAGGCGGTAGGGCCGTCTCCATTTTGCGAACCGCAACTCATCAATGGTTACCCTAGGGCCGGCCGTCCCTCCAGCTGCTCGGCCGAAAGATGGGATTCAACTCGACATAGCTGCTGTCCAGAATATCAAGACTCCATCAGAAGATGGATAATCGTGAAGTAGCTGATTCTCAGTATTGAGGTCACACTCGGTATGCCTATAAAACTTAGAACAATGGCAAAGCAGACAGCAATGTTTCGCTATAACAGACATTGTATCACCAACTTCTGTCCATAATTATTGCGCTCACAGTATGGAGCAGCCATGGTCACACTATTAGTATCTGCATTTTGTCGATCCAAAGTCAAGATCTGATCACGATCATGACCAACGTGATGAGTTTCGAATTATTGTTCATTCTGCATTTCATCTAGCCGAAGTCCAGGTGTAGTGTCAGTCAATGTCATGTATCAAGGACGATACCTTGATCGGATGCCACCCCAAAACAATCAATGCAACTCAGAACCCAGTCGCATGATGGATAATTTTGTAGAGCTAATTGTCATGGCAAGTCTTGTCGGGGTCCTTGTACCTTAATTGATATAGCCAAGATACGTAAACTTGGATCATCAGTCTGACAATTTTCGTATTTAATCTAAAAGCCGTAGAGACTCCCTTGAAGATTATCACTGCTCGAACTTTACCATTAATTGCTCCCCAAGCGGCTTTTAGTAATCCACTGCCAGCAAAAAATCAATAAATTTTCCTATTGCACCATTCAAGGTATTATGACAAAAGACATCAAGGTTCTCAACAACTCAACAAGGTCGTCACGATGCACACGCTCTTTTGTTTCAAGCCACTTACACAATTTCCTAGTCTGTGATAGTTGGCAGAAAGAGGCTGGCTAAGCCAATGACCTTGAGAGAATTAATAATGCACCAAACGCCCTGGTCATGAAGTGCATCAAGGCATCCCTCAATCATCATCACTGAGCTGTGGCGTCTTGTTATGACATCTTACTGGAAACATCTCAATCTCAATTGCCCTTACGATCAACTTTACTATTAAATGGCCTATAAGTTTTTGCTAAGAGTTTACTGCCACACTGTAGTAATAAGTCGTCTGGACCTGTTTTGATATGTCTAGAAATGCGTCAAACCCTTTTGGAGGCTCCGCATCCCCCATCTTTGCTTGCATATTCCACTAAACCTTGTCACAATTAGTTCCGAATTCAATTCCATGTTCCTGCCAACGGTAGCCAATAAACTCACTCAGAATGTCATCAAGGTACTCACACTCGCGATAGCGTCACCTTGATGGCCTCAGGGTCCATACCCTGATGAGCAGTACGATTGTAAGCAAGAATCTTGTGTAAGTCATAACAAGTAGAAATACCACCGTTCCAAGAAAGGGACCTTGTCTGAACCCAGGTCATCTCCCACTCCTCACATCTCAGCGAGGTCTTCTCTCTTCTTCACTGTCCTTTTCAGCTATCAAAATGGCTAAGAACAAGGTCAAGAAAGGAAACAAGAGCAAGGGTGTCAAGAAGCCTAGCATTCCTCCAAAAGCTTTACCCGTGACACTTCTCTCTGGATTCTTGGTGAGTCTCCTTGGTCCCCGATCAAGGAATTCTTGCTGACTATGTAGGGCGCTGGGAAAACAACTCTCCTTCAACATATCCTCCGAAGTGAGCACGGTCTCCGCATCGCGGTGGTGGTTAACGACATTGGAGCGTATGTTCCTACTCCCTTTCAGCATTACCAAAGTCTTACCCCTCTAGTATCAACGTCGATGCCTCCCTCATCAAGAAAACACACCATCTTTCAAAGACCCAAGAGAAAGTCATCGCTCTTCAGAATGGTTGCATCTGCTGCACCCTACGCGGTGATCTCCTGGAAGAACTCGTTCGTTTAGCTCAACTTCAAGAGTTTGACTACATCATTATCGAGAGCAGTGGTATCAGTGAGCCAGAACAGGTTGCTGAGACATTCGACTCGAGACTTGCTGAGCAGATGGACGCTATGGGATCCATTGAGGGTGCCCCTGGTCTGGATGCCGATATGATCAAGGTTCTCAAGCAACTGTGAGTACTTTTCAGGAAGTGAGGGGAGAGATACTGACTTTTGGGTAGGAAAGATGCCGGTGGTCTTGATAAGTTTGCTAGACTTGACACTACTGTAACCGTCATCGATGCATTTACTATGCTGCATGACTTCGACACAAGTGATCTCCTGTCTTCGAGACGTGATGATGTCACGCCTGAGGATGAAAGGACTGTCTCTGATCTTATGGTTGATCAAATTGAGTTTGCGGATGTCATCATCCTCAACAAACTCGATATGGTAGATTCAGAAACCGCTTTTCAGGCGCGCATATAAGCTAACATAATGTTAGGTTGACGTGTCGACAAAACCCCGCCTGCTAGACTTGATCAAGAAGCTCAACCATCGGGCCAAGATCCTTGAATCGAGCTATGGTAAGGTCGATGTCAAGCAGATTGTCAACACTGGCATGTTTAATCTTCAGGTTGCCCAGTCTGGTTATGGGTGGCTTCAAGACCTTCATGCCATGACCGTTCGTGAGGTATGATATATCCGTCCCCGTATCAATAACGAAGTGGGATTCACTTACTGATGTTGCCCCAGGTCAACGGTCGTAATGTCCTTACACCAAAGCCTGAGACTGAAGAATACTCTGTACGAAGCTGCATCTACAGCCGTCATCGACCATTCCACCCACGCCGCCTCTGGGCACTGCTGTATGACAAGTTCATCTTGCAGCTTGAGCAGCCCGAAGACGACGATGAGGAGGGAGAGGAAGAAGACGAAGACGAAGACCTTGAGATGGTCGATTACCCAGATGCTGAGGACTCAACCGAAGATGTTGTAGCCGACCAAGACACTTCTGACTCCTCTTCATCCCGAGGAAAGCGCTCAGCCCCATCATCACCTCGCAGCTCCCATTCCACCGTTGAATCTGCCCCTTCACCCGAGCCTGCGTCCAAGAAGCAAAAGTTTGATGACTCTGAAATGCAAGACGCAGAGGATCTCTTCACACCCTCTAACGAAGTAATCCTCGACACCAAGCGGAAACATCCCATCTTCGCACGTCTCTTCCGCTCAAAGGGTGAATTCTTCCTCGCCACACGTCCCCACCGCGCAGGAGACTGGTCCCAAGCTGGAGCTATGCTCACACTAACCGGTGGACGTCCATGGTTCTGCACCCTTCCTGCGGAGGAGTATACAACCGGCGACCCAGAGGTTGATGGGCTTGTGCAGCATGATATTAAGAAGGGTGGGGAATGGGGCGATAGACGTCAGGAATTGGTGTTTATTGGAGAGAACCTGGATCACAAGGCCCTTGAGAAGATGTTGGATGAGTGTTTACTTACTGACGATGAGTTCAAGAAGTGGGAAGGGGTTATGAGAGATGAGAAGAAGAGTGATGAAGAGAAGCGTGAGGCGCTAGAGGATCTGTTTGATGATGGGTTTCCCGATTGGCCGGAGGATGACGAGCATGAGGACCATGAAGGACATGATCACTCTCATGGTTTGAGGTCGATAAAGAAGCACCTACAAGAAGTTGACTAGAGCAGTTTCAAAAGAAAAGTCATTGTTTGTTCATCCTGGTATCGTCCTTTGTGTAAACTCCCAAAACACCTTGCCGTGTAACGTCTTGTTCCATGGTTGCGCAACATTCTGTCTTCGATACCTTTGATGCCCAAGCCCATTGTCTTCCAGTTTAGTGTGTACCATCTCCAAAAGACCAATCAAATATCCCCCATCATAGCAAACGCCGCATCAACAGCCTCCTTCGCCACAAACGAAAAGACCTCAACGTCCTTCCCCATCCAAATGCTTCCCTTCGCCCAACCACCAACCAAGCTTCTCACATACCAGATCGCAAGATGTTTATTGTACCTGTGCACCTTGTTGATACAAGTCCTCTTCATGCTCCGTCGTAAATCGGTCATCCAATCGCCCTCCTCCCATCTCACATCAGTGCGCTCCATCGGACAGAATAAGTCCTGTGCATCTTGGCTCGAACCTTGCTCCGGCTCTGTGGTGGAGAAACTGATGCTGAGTTGAGCTGGTCGACTTCGATATGTGGCGATTCCAAAGACTGGGGTGCGGCAGGATGATGATTCGGCGCATGAGGAGCTGGTTCGATGATTGGCGGGCTGGCCTGGGAGGGTTAACGTGAAGTCAAGTGGCGTCGCGATTGACATGTCTCTTACTGCAAATGTTTCCAACACTAATATACTCGCGAACAACAAAGTCCATAGTTGGCTTGTCCAGTTCACCCGCGTCTCCCGTCCAGTTCTTGAAGATGGCCGTTAGGAAGTCCTCCATTGTATCCTTGGTATTAGAAAGCGTCGCGTTGAACTCTGTCGCAAGACTGCAAGCGTGGAGTATATCGAAACATCGTTTCAGTTCAGAGTCGTCGAGATCATCAGGAGTCGTGATGGAGCGTGGGTTTCGAAAGATGTGATCGCCAAGTTCGAGGGAGGTGAAGAGGCGATTGCGGGATTCGACGCTGGATCGAGGTTCGGGCGAGGGACTATTGCTGCCAATCAGTATTGGTTCCGCATCATCTGATTCTTGCTTCACGGTTGCTGGAGCTGTGCATGGTGGTACGAAGCGTACGGGAGGGTTGAGAGCAGAACGGGAGAAAGGGGCTGAAGAAGTTGGTGCGTACATTATGCCGAGGAGGGTTGTGGAAGAGCAAAAGAAATCATGTTGTTGAGAGAAGCGCTGATAAAGAGAGGCTCTTCGATCCCGTACTACTGCAGTGAATCATCGTGGCCGCGATGAAAAAGGATTCTGTTGGTGTGCTGAATATCCCCTACCGAGGAGAGGAGAAGGATCACTGTGCAATAAGGATCACTGAGATTTACAAATACTGGAACCAATAAGAAGCACCGGAGAAACTGGCTACGAAAAACGGAATGGACATTGAATTCTCTGACTGCAATAAGAAGCCCGGGCTCTGGGCAAGCTAACAAAGGGAGCATTTACTGGAATCGGGGAATAAGCCTCGGCACGGACCTGAGAATTTCAACGCTCCCCTCGGAGCCTAATGGAAGTTGGGCACAACGACGTCCCTTGAACCCTATCAACACAAGACGGAAATAATGGACTTGATCTCAACTGTCAATATGACCCTAGAGAATCGTCATGGCATCCGATTCAGTCATCAGGGAACTGACATGATCTTGGTAATCCGTATACCGCCCCAAGGTCTCGGTCAATCTCGGTTTTTGATGGATGGGGAGTTAGATACTGGTGGTAAAGCCTGCATGGGTACCGAGTACCAGTACCTTGTCTCAAGTAACCAGACAAGCACTACTCATAAAACCTTGTCAATCCCGTAGCTCATTAGGGTGAGGTTACCCGTATGATGAATCACGACCGATATGATAGTTTGGACGTTCTTACGATGAATGTAGTCTTGATTCTTCAGTTATATCGAGTCTTCGGACCCTTCGTTATCCACGTTGGTGCCGTTGCTTAGGTGATGTCTCTTCTCCCTGCTCATTAATAACTAGGGTTTGGTGCCGTTTTTCCAGAAATATTCTTAACCATTAAGGACCACCGGGAGTGGTCCGTCGGCAATTCCCTTTTACAGTACAGTGCAAGCCTCCCAACCCCTTGGCTGTACAACATGATCTCGCCCAACCCAATTTCCAAATGAACTGTCCTTTCGATGAACGAGAGTTATTCTCTCCATCAAAGCAAGGGAACTTAGTCATGCAGCCCACCCATATTGGAGGGTGTTTGTGACCATCCGCGGAGGTACACGATCGCCCCGGTATGTGATGCCCCCCATCCAAGACACATGAAACAAGGTGACGGCCCCCCCATTCCAAGGACTCAGGGTCCACCCTGCAGATCTCTGAACATTTATTCTCTACAGTATCTGTAAAAGCATTCTGAAGTTCTCACGCAGTGCACAGTCTACTGTTTGCTCTGCTTTTGCATGAATGGTATGATGCGACTCCTGTCACTGAGGAAGAAGACATCCATTGTGGAGTGCAACAAACAAGCTTGATCAAAGCATCACGTTATTGTCTTGCCGAGTGGCTTGCAAGCATCGACGCAAACGCCTCGTCATGGTATTTGCACGATCTGCCGATTCCAAAGGGGACTCATGAGATGAATAGTAGCATTCGGGAAAAAAGAGAAAAGACAATTGGGAATGAATAACAGATACAACACGATGCAAAGAATGTGATGTCAAAGGGACAACGCCTCGCAGATGTAGTGACTGACCCCCGCTGAAAAAAAGTCTTGATCACTACGTAGTAGAGCCCTGTCGTCGGCTGGCGCTCTCCGTGAGCGCTGATTGGGTGCTGGTTCATCTTGACCAATGAGGGCTTGGCTGGAGAGAACTGTTGCATCCACGCAAGACTTTTCAGCCAAGGTACGTGCGTGCGGATGTGTAGAGTGTTTTCCTTATCTTGCTACGTATCATTTCATTTCAGCTCATTTTTATACTGTAGACTTGCATGTTTTTTTGCCCGTTTGGTGTTCAATGGTGGATGTTGGCATGGGTGCCATATGCATGATAGTCCTCCATGGTTGCTTTGGAAAAAGGCGATGAGTTGTGTGTATCTCTGATATTTGTTTTCGTTTTAGTCTCTTCTCTCTTATCATCTCCCCCTTGTGCTGTGATAGCCAACAAGCCAACAAATATTGTCTCATGCTCGGGCTGTTTTGGCGTAGCTCCCCTGTCAAGCCCAGATACTTGTGCTCCAGCCCCACTATCGGGATCTGTTCCACCAATGATAGCCTTCGAACCCAAGACTGAGACATCTCAGCCAATGATGACCCCGGGACACTTTAATTTTCACAGTCTTACAATGCTAGCCTCGTCTGGGTCTAGTAGCTGGTGAGAGGAACTTGAGGAAGAAGTAGTCCGGATATTGCTGCAATCGTCTCATGACGTTGGGAAGATCTTTGTTTGCCCCAATGTCTCACGGGTTGTTTGGTTGACTTTGGCCGTTTTGCTTTCGTGAAGATGCGCACTGATATTTATCCACCCGTCAGAGCCTCGATGCAGCTTTCCCCTCGGTGATCTCCATGTCATCGTTAACTGCCGTGAGATCTTTAATCTGCACTTTCATGTGCCGGGGTAGTTCATTAACAATTGCATGTTTGGTCAAATGCCCAATTTGTCAATGCCATCTCTGTTATTCCCCGCGGGCAATGCTCTGCATTGCTTTCTAAGCATAGCTTAAGTCGGATTCGTCACTAAAAAGTGACACATTGGCTTAAAGTCCACTCTTATCAACCCCTCACACCCCTGACTCCAGACCCCAGTTGTCTGCATATGTCCCTAGAGCTAAACTCATTCCGTGTCTGATGGCTTGGGACCAAACTCCAATTCCCCTCTCTGGTCTTGTCCTGTCTTGTCCCGACTTTGGCAAACACCAGATCGAATGCTACAGTACACAACACTGTAAGTATGCTACCTACCTAGCCGCTTGTTGTTCGCCCTTCTCTTAGCTCCCACACTGTCCCCCTAATCTGGCCATCCACCCTTCTTTTTTGCGTCTCTTATTTATTAACGTTTCCTCTTCGCCTCTTCGCCTCCTCGCCTCTTCGCCTCCATTTGGCAGGGTCCAAACTTCACTCCTAGTAGCATCTTTAATCTCCACTACAGTTCCAGACTTGATTAAATCTTCAGGGTCTGACTCGACCCAGCTATCTAACAGCATCATCATTCAAATTGCAGAGATGGGTACAGTCTACCCTCCCTTCCAACAACCAGTCCATCCTTTAGATGATGGCAACCAGCCCTACGACCCAAAGATGCAACTCATGGCCCAGGATCCGCCAGGCATGAATCTATATAGCACGCTTCCCCAGGGTCCTTGGGAGCAATGGTGGTCTCCCGAGAATGCCGTCTTTGCCGAAGCATCAAACATGGCCGCTCCAAATGCCTACGCGCAAGAACACCAACAACAATACGCCCAGTACGCCTACGATCAAGATTCCTCCACACAATGGGCATCCCCATCAACCTCAATGCACAGCTATCCCATCCCATCCCCTTCAACAGAGTCAACAAGCGTAGTGAATTCGACCGGTGACTCCGAAAGCCGTCGAGGCTCTTCATCAACCCAGCCCGACAAACGAAAGCGCAATGCGAGTCGATCTACAGCGTCAAAAGCTCCAAGACGCGCGTCAACTCGCAAGACAACCAAAACAGAAGTAGTATCAGAAAAGCCCAAAGGACGCGGCAAAGGCAAAGCAGTCGCTAAGCCGCAACCCACGAAAACTCCGTTTCCCGAGCCGGAAGAGGAACTCGACGAGCACAGCAAAAAGGTACAGGAGCGAAACCGCGTCGCCTCCAACAAATTCCGCATCAGGAAGCGCGAAGACGCCAAGAAACTTCGAGCCGACGAACAAGACATGGAACGAGCCAACCGCGACCTGTCAAGCTGCGTAGCCGACCTCACGATGCAAGTCTACGACCTCAAGATGAGACTCCTACAACACACCGACTGCGAATGTCAGTTGATTCAAGACTTCATCGCGAGCGAAGCACACCGATACATCCAAGACCTGGGCGAAGGAAAACAGAACCATGCGACACCGCCGATTTGCCCCTTTCCCCAGCACAATTGAGAAGAGGCCCCCGTGTACGATTAAAAAGATACGAAGACGATGATTATGACGAGTCGATACGATAAAAGGATTGGTCGACATTTACAAGTGTTGATTAAAATGCAGCGGAGGAGTCACCGGGATTTGCTCGACCCAAGGGAGATATCGAATACGATGGGATGATATGCTACACCTCTTTGTGGTCTTTTCTTTCTTTGTCACATATTGTTTCTGTGAGACTTTCTGGGATTGACAAGCTCAGATGGCGTTTGAAGATTTTAATGTAAAAAGCCATCAGGCTTGACTGGCTTCGTTGAACGGCAAATTTATATGGTATCACATCTGTTATTGTACAACATCAAAAGATCCATGCCGTAGGTTCTTACTTATATCACATTACCTGAGTGTGGAATGTTGAATCAACATGCTTGTCAAATGACAAGGTGATACGACTGGCCATCAGATCAAACACAAGGTCAATTCTCGCTGCGAGGCAGTCAAAGAGGACGATTGCCGACTGGACAAGGTTCTCGTACGAGAACGGCTCACAAACATCCATCCAACGGTCGCATTTATCCTAGGCTCGTCTTGTTCGAGCTACAAGTTCAAAATGAGGACACAATAACGGAAGCAACTTCTCGACGTTGAACTCTGTTGCCGCCACCCGGGGCTCCCCAGACATTTAACTGGACAGAACTCCTGTCCTTATCGATGCATTTCGTAGCTTTGGAGAGGCCCCTAACGCAAAGATTGGCTGGGCTGAAAGCCACAAGGTTACAACGGCCCCCCCCCGGAAATATCATGGCGCTGGGTAGATTGTCGGGACCAGTGGGTCACACGAATTTGTTTCTCGGGGACACAGCAGTTTGTCATGCTAATTGATGAGCCAAAAGACATACCAATTGAGAGCGGAATGGTACAATCACAGACATGCATGTTCTCGTCCCACCACTAACAATCTTACACATGCTTTTGCTAACTCTAATTGGGCTTGGGCTGGGCTGCTCAGTCTCACTTTCAAGTATCGCGTACGGCACCAACGTTCAGCCCAGAAGGACCTTTTGTTCTATTCTATTTCCGGTATAGACACACATCGGAGAAAACTCCGACGCCCCATGATTTCTGACGATCTTGGCTCCCACAGAAATCCTGAATATGACAACGTCACTCCCTCGAACGCAAGAGACTTTTACCTCGATACGCATCGAAGCGCGTGCGTGCTATCTTAGCTATGCCTAATCTTGCTAGGATCGAATCGAGATCGGGTGATAATGTGCACAGCGTAAGTGCACGATTGATCGCACAGGACAGGCCCAGATAATGTTGGGGTTTTGCTAGATACCTTTCTTGCGTTATCTGCAGCGGGATGTACTGTAGAAAGACAGAGAATCGGTTGTCACAATATTTGGCCAATCACGTCTATGCGGACGATGTTTCCGTCGACTGGTAAAGCCAATCATTGTGACACGGACGCACCGTCCGTGACCAATCATAATCCTTGGACCTTAGTACCTAAGATCTACAGATGATGTCTCACAAGACAAGCACAGCGTCACTATTGTGGGCTTAGTGCCATCCAGTCGGTAGCTAACATGCCCTGGGCTTGTGTAATGGACCTTCTGTACAAGTAACATTGGCGAGAGCGTATTGAAAGCTCTCTGCCCACTTCTCAGATCTGTATTGGGCAGTGTGAGTTTGTTCTTTGGCGAAAGGGAGATCATAGATTTCGTAGTGCCGCTGTCTACTGCTCCTTTTCATGGAGAGCTTTGATCCAGACAGCCCGACCATAATATATGATGTGGCAAACATGCAGTCATGCAAATACCCCAGGCCAAGTACTATTCTCAAGGTCAAGCTCAGCCCCGTGTAACCATGGCCTCACCCGCCAAGCTGACAGAAGCGCACTGCATAGTTTGACGATTATGTTCGCATGTTTCAGGCGAAACTTGGAAATCATATATGACAGACTGAAGTAATGCTGCCTCTGACGATAGCCTTGCGACATATTCTGGCCCCTACAGACTTGTGATTGGCTTTGAGCGCGTCTTTGCGCGTCATGGATCCGCAGCGTGATCTTCATCCCCCCCGTTCTTTGAATACCAGACACAACGAAAAATGTGAAATATGGTAATATTGATGTAACTTCTATGTAATTAACTATTGTAACTTGTCTATAAATAGCCGACATCGTCCCGTCCACTTGATTTACTCTTTCTTTCGTTTCTAGATACGTCCGTGTCCGCACCACTCATCATCGATCCACACAACGAAATTTCGAACGATTACGCATGCCTCGAGGAACATAAAGAGCAAGGAGTGCCTTCAAGTAACTTGGATTGTAATGGGAAGATTTCGAGAAAGAGCAAGGATTGGGCTATCTATCAGGACGAAATGGACAGTCACCGAGATCGATACACAAGCAACAGTACACTTCGATAATGCATGTCAATACCGACCATATCACCGCGAACCAATACGAGTACGCCGAAGAATCATACAGTCAAATGAACGCCAATTTGAGTGAGACATGCAGGTCAACATGTTTCTTGAGTAAACTTGCTGCGGCTTTGATGCTCAAACACGAACCGAAAACGCATATCCACCATTCCGAATAAGCTGGAACACAGTAGAGAACCACCAACTGGTTGCACTCGATCGATTGAAGACTTGTAGTAATTGTAACGACGAAATGGAAGACAGTCAGTCAACCCTTCCAAGTTGATCAAGGCCCCTTAACTTGGTAGCCTGGACGTCTCGAACCCAGAAGACCTCGGTCAGGTTGCAGAGCAACCGGACTTGCCTGGCCTCAGCAATAATAGAGTGCTGTTAAAAAGAACACCGCCATTAGTAACCCCCAGCATCCTTGTGAGGGAAATTGCGTTGGAGTTCCACTTAGGGGGACACCAGCAGCGGAGTAACCGCCAGAGCAACCGGAGACAATAGATCGAACTCCTTACACAGGATACAGCATCTCCAGAGATGGAAGGTAAGAGTTTTAACAAGATAAAAGCAAGCTTCGTGTACTGGCCTTATCCTTGCCTTGTTGTCCAAGTCATCAGGTTGGCGAATGCAGCTTCTTCCCGACGGAGAAAGTGGTCTGGCCTCGGTCGTCCGAGTTCGTAAAGGACAGCATTTCCAAGGCCTCAACCGGAAGAACCTTGGTCTAAGAAGTATTGGTGCCACCTATGTTCTTTCAGCATAAAACATATACTTCGTGATTCGCGTCGCGACCCGAGCCTCCGCCAGCTTTAACAGGCTGTGAACCAGAAAGTTGCGCGAGACAATGAATTGAACACAAGCATTCTGGATTACTCTTGTTTATTGAATTCAGGCGAATGTATCAGATTAGGGAAAAGCTTTTCTTTTCGATAGCGTTGGCCCTTGCCCTCACTCGATATCCACCCAACTAGTTGTTACAGCCCAGATAATTGCCAAGTCAGGGGGCGCTGGATTCATTCCGGATATTCACTTTATTCGCACACGGTGCAATATGCCAATGATACCAAGCCGCACGGCGGATCACAACGAATGGCACGATTCCCGTCTCCCCGCCTTTGAGGCGGATCATTTCTCCTCGTGGGTGCTATCACATCGGACAATCTGATACTTTGCACCACCCATTAGCCCGTGTTGGTTAACATGACACTGGAAATTTGATAGATAGACGACAGGGCTGGTAGAGATCGGGTAGTGATCGTACCCAGGATTCCTTGGTGAAGGGTGAAAGACTCGATGCATTTGTGCCTCCATCTTCCTTACACTGTTCAGGAGTACTTGAACAAGAAGACACGATCTAAGCATTATTGACTATATCTTCTTGATCTACAGAATTGCTTCTTCATATTTGTAACACGTAATGCGAGGAAAGGCCCTCCTCTTTAGGATATTCCTTCCTGATGCTACTCCAGGGGTTCAAGTTCAGGGTTACATAACTATTCATGATGGGGCAGAACCTGAGGTTATAAAACATTAATGCCAGTTATGCACGCTCATGTCAATGCATAAATAATCGCGTCAAATGACAAAGCAATGCTACCTACCCCTGAAGTGGAATTTTCTTGACATTTAACCACAGCTACAGGTCATTCATTACAAACAAATTGGAGTTCAGAACAAATTACAAAAACACGCCTACTACAAGGGAAGATCCAGAAATGATTTTAAATATTGAGCGAAAGCCATGTTATTGCAATGGTAGCGAAGAACATACAGCAACTGCCCGAAGACACGGACGCTGGAGGGGAATGAGTAATGAGGAAGAATCGAAATTGGAATTAGTATCAAAAACATGCCAGCTGAACCACCAAAGTATAGTACATGAATACAAACGTTACCGCGCCAGCTCCAAGCACCATCCCTATTAACCAAGAACACACTGTCCAGCAACACAAAGACACAATCCCAGCCTACACCTCGGCAGAGTTCGACAATCCGCAGCAGCAGTACACTCCGGCGTAGGTCCATTCCCAACAAGTCCACAAACACCATTGACACAAGCACAAACCCCCGGCAAAACGCAAAGATCAAGGTTAGCAAGACAATCTGCTGCACCCGTGCAGTCGGTGTTATCGACACAAACACCATTTTGACATGTAGCTCCAGCGCTGCAACCTGCGTTGGAGGTACATTCATCAACGTCGGGGGATGTAGCACAGACTGCATCGACGCAGACACACAGACCGAGAGCGCAAAGAGGATTGACGGAGAGGAGGCAGTCGTTGGCGTCGACACAAGCATCTGTACCTCCGCCTCCTGCTGCCGAACATACACCGTTGTTGCATGTGTCTCCAGGAGTAGTGCAGTCAGCGTTGCCGGTGCACGCATCGCCGGTACTGCCTCCACCGCCACCTCCGGCCTGTACGCAGACAGCGTTGAGGCAGACACAAATGTTGAGAAGCCCATTGAGGCATAGGCCAGCGTTTGCTGTACAATCATCTGCCGTAGTACACGAAGTTGGGTTGTTGCTTGGATCAGGTCCGCAGACGCCGCTCTCAAGACAGACAGACCCAGCGGTAGTACAGTCGGTATCATCTGTACAAGCATCACCGTCCCCGCCGCCGT